GTAACAAATATCTTGGCAATTTCAAAAGTACAGACATTTTTTAAAAAGGAAATATCAGTTCCATTTCTTTGACAGCAGTCCTGAACAATCTGTCATCTTATTCAGCTATACACATATGTGTAGGAGTAAGCTGTCTTCCAGAGAGCTTTCTATAACATGCAAACTCCTACAACAGGCAAATAGCGTGGTCTTTTATATCATCTTAACAAGGAGACACAACAGCCCATTTGAGAGCTTGGGCAATAGAAACAGGATGCCCAGGTTTCCACTGAGATTCTTAACACTTCTTGTCCCAGTCATAACACCTCTCTACCCTTTGATTTCTTAATGTATTCAAAGGAATGATGGCAGTACCTATCTCTGAGGATAGCTGTGAGAATAAATGAGAGCATGTAACATATTTAGAAAAACCCCTACTACATAACTATGTCAACACCTTAAGATAATAAAAATTACGTGCAGATAAATTCTACTAAGATGCATAATCTATTTTAAAGATCACACATATTACTTCAGAAAAATGAGAAGGCAGGTAGTAGTAATTTCTGCTCATGCTCCAGTTCCTGGAGATAGTACAAAACACCACAAATGTGATGGAGGTGAAAGTGTTCCCATACCACTGATCTTAGAAGGCGGCTACTAGGTTGTCTCATTTCAATAAAAAATATCTGCACAGTCATATGCAAGCAACTTCAGTGCCTTTTATTGGCAGATAATAGTCACACTAAATAATTATTAGCTACAATAAAAGAATAAACTGCTCCCCTTACTACACCTAGAGCTTCTAGGTGTAGAAGCTGCCAAAATTCTACATTTGCTAAAATGTGAAAGTTAAGATGTCTCTGACCTTCCTCAGCATGTCCTCCAACTATAGCAAAGACTACACACAATCATCTCTGAGGATGCTTTGCTGCTTTGAAGATCTCTACGTGATCAAAACTAATTAATTTCAAAATGAAAGAGACCATAATACATTATATTACCTGTGCCAATGAAGTGACTGATTAACTGAACAGTAAATCGCCTAGAAGTTCAAACAAAGGCTTATGTTTTCTTCAATCCCCTGACCTCAGCAGCACTCTGCCAAATCTCCCTCCCTAGCTGAAGCAGGTTCCTTAAAAATATCTGGAACAGGTCCCAGAAATTGCAGGTCACTTGCAGCTACTTAAAATCCACCCACTTTTAAGATACCAATCCAATTTCTGAAACAGGGTCACCCTTGGGGGTCTCCTGGCTCTGGGATTCCAGGCAATGAGGAGAGAACCTTACACTGCTGAAACTCAGAGTATAGGCTGACCCAGGGCACTGTATGGCCACTGCATTCGCTATTTTCTTTTTGCCTGCGCAAGTGGGTGCTGGCACTGCAGTGTGTGTGCCTACAGAATTTCTTGCAAAGAAGACATTTCTTGTAAACAACCACCCTTATCTTTGGGGGAGGGCCTGTTCACGCCCTCCTTGCATAGCAGCCCCCAGAATGGAGTTGGAAAGGCTAAGTAGTTAGTTCTGAGGCTGGTCCTTGGTCTTTCTTTCACAAGGAATACAGTCTCTGGCTTAGAGAATAGACAGGGTAACGGCAGAGGTAAAAGTAACACATCTTTTCTTTTTTCTGGTTGGTTCTTACTAACTTCAAAAGATGAATGACCTTGTGGGTGGAATGCCAAGAGCAGAAGGTGCCAAGTGTTAAGAAGGGATGTGGGCTCAGAGCTAGAAAAGGGTCTTGTACACCCCTTGCTGATCCCTCCTGCTGCTGGATCAGGGGGAGCCCCGGAATGCTGGCAGACCTGCTGCCAGGGTCCTCAGGGAGTTTTAGTCACTATCTTCTTACTAACTTACCAATAGGAAATATTTCAGTACTTAGTCCCAGGACAGCTGTGCAGATGCAAACCAGATGAACATCATTCCTGCCGCAGAAGCACTTAAAAGGGTCCTGAGCAAAGATATCCCCACTGCATACTTGTTCATGTTAGAGTCTGCCCCGACCCTGCCCTTTGCCAACCACCCCTGACTAGCCCACGGGCTTGTCTGATAAAGCAGAACTATTTTCTATTTGTCCACTCCACGTGGCCTCTGGGAAACACATGTCTTTACCATGCCAACCAGAGCATTTATCAGGCCATTCTACCTATCTCCGTCCTGCAGTTTCCTGCAGTTCTCTATTTGCTTGATTAGACAGGTGAAGGGTGTATAATAAGTCTATGATTAAAACATCTCTTGCTTCTTCCCAAAAGGAAAGGCACTTCTTGCAAGGACTACCTCCAGTCTTTTAACTGAGGATCTCTTGGGGCTGCTTCACTTTGACAGAGAGCAAGGTAAAGAATGAAGAAAAGTTCTTTCTTCCCTCTGCAGAACAGAGAGAAAAGCCAAACATTCCAGATGACTGGATAGTCTATGATGTCCCTCCACACACTGATAACATGTGAATTGGGCAGGGACATGAGGAGAAACCCGTAGAAGGTAGTAGCTGGACTAGGCTGTGTCTTTATAAAGCTCAAGGGAAGCCCCATGACCCAAACTGGAGGTGGCTTCTTGGAAGTTTTCCTTGTGAATTTAAAGCTGTTCCTTCAGATTTCAGGCTACCAGTTCCAGGTAACAGTGAAAAATCCTCTTCCAAACTTATTGCATTTGTTTATTTAAATAGGCATCCAAAATAATTAAATAGTCTATTTTGCTACAGAAAAAATGAACATTATATACACATGGAACAAAACAAAAATTGAAGAGGCATTCTACTGGTGACTATTTGGAGATACTGATTAATCCATTCTGCACATATTTATGTTTAATTAGAAACTGGGAAGGCTTTAGGATGTTATTCTAAAACAAGTCTACTAGCAGCATGGCATCATATTCAAATAATAATGTGAAGATTTGCTTGGTAAATTCTTTTTTAGCAACCCTGTTTCATCAAAAGCATATATTTTTACTCAAATGTTATAAAAAACTAAGTCTGAGTATAAACTGATTTGCTATAATTGGAAAAGGCTTACTGCAGTCATTTCACCCCTTTAAATTATGATAGCAGCATTCAAACATCTGTTAAACCATAGCATCTGTTTCATATTTGGGATGCATCCCTACAAATTAGAAGAGTGTTCTTTTTAATGAGCACTGATTTAATAGGGAATCCTTTTTTATGACTGTTATGCCAAAGAAAGAAAATGAGAAGACAAATTCACGTCTTTAGTACCCCCCACAGCTAAGTACCACAAAGGTCCACACATTCTAACACAAATCTGTTTAATAGAGACACTAATACTGAAAGTTAGTAAACAATTTAATATTAAATTTTTTAAATTTGTTTTTAATATATATGTATACACACACACAACATCAGGAAATAAAGGCCATACATTTATATTATTCAAGAAAAATAATAACTTCTTTCAAATAAATTTTCTTGACAATACATACAGCCCTAAAGATACTAAGACAAATGCATGACCTCATATTCTGTTTTTACAAAGATGAGTTTACAACTAACTCCTAGGACACAAACATTGCCAGAGCTTTACCATCTCAGTTGCATCTGAACTTGCAGTGACTCAGCCAGTTCTTTTTATAACTATTCCCTGCTGGCTTCATAAATTTTGTAGCCTTCTATGGATCTAAATTTGCTTTTTAAAAGAAGCAGTCAGTTTAATATCAGACAACAATGGGTTAGTTTGTCCTACTGTTTATATACTTCTTCCCTGTTTCAGGCTTTTTCCTTCTATTGCTAATTTGGGTCTGGCTGGACTTTAAAATTTCAACTTAAGAACATTTATAACACTTTAATTTTTATAACTTAACTATAAATTTTAGGAAATGACAACTTGTCTGATTAGGCTCAGTAAACTACAAAAGGTTTATCAAAGCGGGCCCTCCCTGGTGGCACAGCAAGTTAAAGCCCAGCACTAAGAAGAGCTAAAGCCACTTCAGCATGAGTTCAACCCCTGCCCCAGAGGTAACCCACATGGCATGGCAGACCTCTCCTGACCCGCCCGCTGCTCCCCTCAGCAGTGTACTTCATCAGTTGGCCTGTTCTGCTCCCCACTCTATCTCTGGTGAATCCTCTCACTGCCCCTGCACCTCTGGCCTGTACCCCAGTTCTGTGTGCATAAATTTTAAAAAATCTTAAAAAAAAGATTTATAAAAGAACCACGTATCACTAATTTTTGAATACTTACAACAAACTAATTTGAAAGAAGCTAGAAAAGATAAAAGATGAAAGAAAAGAGTATAACAGAGGATATTTTGGTCAACTGTTTTATAGCTCTTAATTTAATAATAAAAGAGAAAACTGTCACTACAGTGTCAGAGACATTTTTACTGTAGTGTAAATGACACTTCTAATTTTTACATTGGTGCTGAAGACAATTTTCCATATGTCCCTTTAACAAAGAGTAGCTATGGTCACAGCTTGCTCCTGCCCACCTTATCAACACCTGCTTCTGGCACTCTCCTCCCAAGCCATGCCCACCAAACAAGGGCTCAGCCTTCACAGGCTTTATGGAATCACATTTCCTACTACTGCCGAAGGAATGTATCATTTTATACCCATGTCATGTCACATTAAATGTACAATTAACAGATGAGACTTTTAACATGTCATTTGAGTTCTTCACTTAAAAACAAAATTAAAACAAAAACCACTTGGTGTAAAAATAGTGCTTTCTAAGCTTAAATGCTTGAGAAATTCAGAGAAGAGGAAAATGACCAGGCTGATTTTTCTTGGTTCAGGCTGAACTTATTTAACCAATCTGGGAGAGACAAAAGGTGACCTTAAAGTATTTTAAATTATTACCTGGGAAAGATCTTGCAATCCCCCCTTTTCAAATGCTTCATAACTTTAATAGCAAAACTCCTTTATTCTAAATTAAAAGTTAACTCATTACTGAAAACTAAGTATAACAAAACTTAAAGGTCATAAGTGACATGGTACAACTTAAGGAACACTAGAGAGATAAACTTTTTTGTTTCCTCCTTTGTAAAACTTATTGCAATATAGTCTCAGAACTTGCCTCTGCCAGTTGAAAGAGTGCAGACTTTCCACAGCGTTTTACGGGCTCAGCACCATCCAACTGCGATGTGTTTGAAGAAATCTATAATGAAAACAATTCACGTAAAGAATACTGTGGTATCAGAATAGTTAGGGACTTTGTTTAATTTACGTAAACATTGCTCTCAAGTACCAAATAACTTTAAATGTGTCATGATTACAATAATAATTTTAAAATAATGTTAGTAAATAACCTCAAAAACAACAAAAATAGATGTATGGCTCAAGTGGCTGTTTAATGACAAAAGTATTATCTTATATATTCCAAACTTTAAATTTAACCCTTATAACCAGACAGACATTTCATTTCTATACAAATACCAATTCATAGTTTGGCCAAATATTTTAAATCAGTTTGTATTTACCAAAGCAACTATTTAAAACGTTTAAAGAACTGTATTTGGGATCTCTATGGTAAGACAGCATCAAGTCAGCCAACAAATTTTTGTGAAGCCCTTATTAGTGTGTTAAACAGTATGATATGATCTGGGAAAACTTATTAGAGTTAAAAAAAAAAATCTGGCTTGAAGAGTGTGCTCTAAATTACAACAAGGATTGACAAATGTAAGGAGGTTTCAAGTTAAAGGACCTCTGTCGTGGTACATCAACATTTACACACTGGAATGACTGCATACTCTTCTGCAAATGTAGCTAAACAGCAACTACAGATATTAATAGCAAGGACAAAATTGTTTTACATAATAACTTGTTTCAATTTCTAGCCAAATTCAGTAAGGAGCTAAGAAGGACCTTCTTAAGGATCTTAAAAAGTTTTTTCTAGAGAAGTTTTGTTATTACTACAGCTGTGACTAAGCTTTTTATAATCTTCATGCTTCTGAATTCATTCTTGGTTTAAGAGAGAGAGAAGAGGCTTCAGTTTAAGAGGCAATCTTGTCTTACTACAGGTAACCCCAAATCCCAAAGGGAACTCTACAGAGCTTCAGCTTCAGAGGAGACTAGGCAGTTTTCTTTTAGAGGGAGGAGTCTCTAGAAAATCTGCTGAGTAACAGGATTCTGTAGAGACAAGTATTTAATAAGCTATCTGGGCTATTAAGAAGGGTCTAGTTTAAGAAAGTACTAAGAACTTTGTGTTCTCCTTAGTTGCTATCATTTTTAATATAATTTTTCCTATTCATCCTGATTTTTCTTTGGAAAAATCAATTGGTGGGACTTAAGTTTTTCTAAGGCATAGAATAATTTCTTTTAGCTGTATTTTCTCTGATAAATACTACTTCTACTTTTCCTAGACAAGTTTAATCCTTTTTAAAAATTTTTTTAAATATTTTATTTATTTATACATACAAGAACTGGGGTACAGGCCAAAGATGTAGGATGAGAGGATTCACTGGAGTCTAAGTGGGGAACAGAGCAGGCAGATCTACTGGAATACACTGATGGGGGAGCAGCAGGCCAGACAGGAGGGGTCTGTTGGACCATGTGGGTGATCTCCCTGGCTAGAAATGGAACTGCTTGCTGGTGATATAGCTTTAAACCCTGTGCCACCAGGAAGGCGCAAGACAAGCTGAATTCTACTACTTACTCTATCACCAAACTAAAAGAAACAGATACTAATATAATCATCAACTCTCAGTGACTTGAGGGAATGAAATATGTATGTCAGTCCCTCTCCAAGGTTACATAACAAAAGGTCATGGCTTTTGTGTCCACACCACTTCATTTAAGCAAGTAACTAAAACTTTCAACATGTTCAAAACAGAAACAATAATACCTGCTGCTTTGTTACTGTTGTAAAATTAGATTTTATGTTACTGAAGAGTTTCAGTCCATATTATCCCCTCAGTAAATGAGGCAATTATTAGTAATAGGTATTTATCATTATTAACACTAATACACTTTCAGTACAATCCCCACAATTGTTTATATACTAAAAATAAAATTAAAAACTACAATGTCAGGGCCCTCCCTGGTGGCGCAGCCGGTTAAAGCACAGCACTAAGAAGCTTAAGTCACTTCCGCATGAGTTCGATCCCCGCCTGCCCTGGAGGTGACCACATGGCGTGGCAGACCTCTCCTGATCCGCCCATTGCTCCCTTCAGCAGTGTACTTCGTGGATCTGCCTGTTCTGCTCCCCACTCTGTCCCTGGTGAATCCTCTCACCCTCCGCATCTCTGGCCTGTACCCTAGTTCTGTATGAATAATAAATCTTTAAAAAAAAAAACAAAACAAAACTACAATGTCAAGAGATAACTGGTAAATTTAGTAATTTATGGATTACTAAATTTGATATATTAACTGCACGGAAATGTCACATGGATGACTTACAGAGGATCATTTGGGGGCGCTGCACTATATAGTGTTTCTAATTCTTCCCTGGATCTCTCAGCTGGGCTTTTGCTGCCATAGTTACTGCTCCCTCACATTGTGTGTGTGTGTGTGTGTGTGTGTGTGCGTGCGCGCGCACGCATACACGCACACTACCTGATACCCTCTGCTAATGCAATACATGGAATACCAACAAGGTTCAACAAAAAACTACTGACTGCATGGACTCATTATCTGAGTTAAAGCCCTGCTGCCTCAGTGAAGGCTTGGGAGTGCTTCCTCATCTTTCAAAAAGAACCAGATACGTTTAATAAGAACAAGTTTCCTCATTGCTAATGGGAAGACTTTTACCAATAGGGTAAAAATAGGGTAGCATTTAAAATGTTCAAGGTTCCTGGGAGCCTAATTTCCAAGGGGGCATGTAGGGGATCAAAAGAGGTCAAATTATTTTGGTTGCCTAACATTTTCAGAAATCATAACAATAAAGTTTTCATAGAATGACTTAGTGGTAAGACAGGTTTTCTCTTTTGGCTCCTTAATGAGAGAAGACTGTAAAACTGTCTATGGCTCAAGACTTTATCTTAATTTCCCTGACCTTTTCTTTGGGAAACTGTTCTCCAGGTTTCCGTGACCACAGACTCATCGTTTTCCTCTTACCACTCAACAAGGCCACTTCTTGCTGATCTCCTGTGTTGGCTCTTCTTTTTATAGTGTTCTCTTAAATGTTTTTCCTCCGGGTTTTGTCAAGGCCTTCTTTGGTTTCAGTTTCACATTAGCGCTCAGTAATCTCATCTACTATAGCGGCTTTTATTGCAAATATAACTTATACAATTCTGATTTATGATTCCATTGTTCAGCCACCCCACTTTTTTCCCACTTGATATATACATGCTTTTAGATAAGAGCAATACAGAAAATATGTCCACCAGTAACTGGTCAGTGGTCAGTGGTGGAGGGCAGTGTGTGATGTTTGACTCTCAGCAGGGTGTACTAGTGAGCCACGCTGGGCATTATGTCTGCGGCAATCTGTTAACATCACTATAGCCTCTCTTTAAAAAAAAAAAAAAAAAGATTTATTCATTTATGCACACAAGAACTGAGTACAGGCCGAAGGTGCAGGAGGTGAGAGGATTTCTCAGAGATAAAGTGGGGAACAGAACAGGTGGACTGATTGAAATACACTGCTGAGAGTAGCAGGCAGGACAGGAGAGGTCTGCTGCACCAGTGGATCCCTTCCCTGGCTAGGGATCAAACTTGTGGCTGAAGTGGCTGCAGACAGCTTCATAGTGCTAAGATTTACCCCTGCGTCACCAGGAAGGTCCTCACTATAGTCTCTTCTTTGACTATTCTGTTATGTTCTAGTAAACACAGTGGGATTATGTGCAACAAAAAAGAACCACCTTGAATGTTAAATTGTTAATTTTTATGGCTTGCTTGAGGTAGGGAGGATATACTAAGGTAAGCAGTTGGTTGAGATAAAAAGAAAATTAAGTAATGGTGGAAGACTTTTGCAATTACTCAGGAAACATAAACATTGCAACCTGGGAGGAAATGATCAATAATTTTTGAATAAATAAATGAATCAAATAACAAATATGAGATGATTAATATTCCTTAAGAGAAATATTAATGTGTCCAACAAAATAGGTATTTTCACACTGATTAGCTGCAGTGTGAGTATATGGTATATTGTTGAGTATCATATCTAGTAACATACTGAGCAGTCCATCATAAAAATGCTTTAAATTTTCACCTATTGCTTATATCCAATAGTAACAATTATCCAAATTAGGTAAGATTATGGCTATATTTATACTGCCAAAGTAAATACCTTGTAAGGAAAGTTTTAATGTATCTTTGTCTAAATCACCCAGATTAGCCATATATCCAATAGAAATACGTAACTTTTCAGTGTAAAAATAAACTCCGCATGTAAGAATTAGCAGCAGAGCAGGAAAGAGGGTTAAGTAGATTGGTCACGGCTTTCAGACTTGTTAGATAAAGCCCCTTCTGGTATTACATTTGGTCATTATTCTTCAGGAAATGAGATCTATTACTCTACCTGTAAACAACAAAAGCTGCAGATAGAAAATTCTGACCAACTTAATGGATAATAGTCTGGCAACAGAGTGATGACTCTTCAAATGAGCCAAGATGAATCTCGATGAATTATGAGCATCAATATGGGAGACAGGTTAAAATGTGTAAAGACACTGTATTTCTTTCTACGTACCTCTTATTAAGCACATATATTTTTCTCCACTTAAATGCAGTCCCTCATGAGAAATCTATAAACGACGTTTCTGTTTATTCAGGTTCATGGTTACAGACAGGTTAACTACAATGTGTTCTAAACTATCAGATTTAGTTAAGAAGGAAAAATATCTTGATCAGTTTGCAAGGCAGAGAAACTTAGGAATTGATGTAAATTAAAGATAAGAAAAACTATTTTGACTTAGTATGCTCAGGGCTTTCTGTTTTTTAAAAGTATGTTTCGAGGGTAATTATATTACACATTAAATGACTCATTTCTAAGAGGAGACATAGCTAATCTCTCCCTAAAGTGATGGAGGTTTATAAGTGACATGAGCAGAAGTAGTCTCTAAGAATTTTATATGTCTATCTTAGATATTAAAAAGCTGAACATTTTAAAGAGCAAATCATCTCCAAATTTTAAACTATAGAGCAGTAGTCATAAACTGTGGTTCCCAGATAGGAAACTTGTTGGAAATGCAAATTCTCAGATCCCAGTCTAGAATTAATAAACCAGGAACTCTGGGGTGGGGGCCAGTAATCTATGTTTAAACAAAACTGTGAGGTGACTCTGATGTATTTTAATTTTCAGAATTTCAACTGTAGACTAATTGGAAGAATTTTAAGTGTCTTTATGTTTTCTCAAGAGGAATAGGCATTTTAGAAATCATTTTAAGAGCTCTAAAGATATGATCATAGTAATTACAGCCTATTCTATTTCTACTGTAATATATATGCTTATAGCTGATTCTAGTAGGTATCTTTGTTAGTTTATCTTGTCAGCTTTTATTTAGCTAAGATAGTCAAGATTAAAATTTGGGATTCTCGGCCCTCCCTGGTGGCGCAGTGGGTTAAAGCACAGCACAAAGAAGCTTAAACCACTTCCGCATGAGTTCGATCCCTGCCTGCCCCGGAGGTGACCACATGGCGTGGCAGACCTCTGCTCCCCTCAGCAGTGTACTTCGTCGATCTGCCTGTTCTGCACCCCACTCTGTCTTTGGTGAATCCTCTCACCCTCCGCATCTCTGGCCTGTACCCCAGTTCTGTATGAATAAATAAATAAATCTTTAAAAAAAAAAATTTGGGATTCTCTTGGGTCAGCTTAGAAAACTGACTGGAAATAACATATCTTTAGAGTCCATGGACTTGTCTTCTATAACCACATATAGTATTTACATTAAAATAACCAGGTATGTAGAAATTTTATTTACATAATAATTAAAGGGGCTCATCTACCTATGCAAAAATGTAACAAGGAAAAATAATATATAGAGGTAGGTGGGGAAACTGCCTACCTACCTCTGGATTTGATTCTAGTGAAAACATTCTATTTTTGTATTTTTCTCCATTATGTACTCTTTCCTTTGTTACCATACCTTAAAATAACTCCTAGTACCTTTTCAAATTAATTTATCTATGTTTTACAGTCAAAACCCAAATATTCTCACAAGACAAGTGCCATATATAGGGGACTGACATAAGGAAACCACTCCTTGAACAACTCCCAGGTAATGACCTCTTCTTCTCTAGGAAAGAAGCCCTTCTCTTCCGTTGAGGAGTCAGTATACTGAACGGCAAGGACAAATGTTTGCTTAAGAAAGACACAGAATCTTATTCTTCAGAGTCACAGGACAGCAGCTATTACACCATCACACCGGTCCCTCAGAGTTTTTCAGGCTTTGGGAGCTCCCAGTAAGTTTGAAGATGGTATTATTTACCTAACAATCACAGTCTGAGTGGTGCTAGCTACTAGAAATGCAGCTGCTGAAATATCCCATACTGACATTTTATAATAAGGTACACATACTTGGCAGTTAATGCATATGCAAATAGCAGGTATGTCAAAGATGAGTCATTAATCTTCTAACATCTATGCTACAGATATATGGAAAATAACCTGTTTTGAAAACAATGTTTCTAAAAAACTGAATGGGACTGTTTCAGGGAATCATTAAAAATATTTAGTTAGCATGCCAAAATTCTGTTTTAACTCAAAAAAACTATTAGTATCAAATATACATAGATGTCAATAACTGGGGGAAAACAAGTAATTATTAAACAACACTACTTCTCCAGACAGTGAAAATAACAGCCTATTTATCATAACGACAAACTTTAATAAAATCTTAATTTATTCAATTCATCAAGCAAATGTTTCTTCATGGAATGACAGTATTACATGATACTTCTATTACGAGATTTATAGAATAGCCCTCGGCAGCTAAAGCAAACATCATGGCAGAGAAGTTTAACAAATAAGCAGACCAATGAATGGAGGTTGATGCAAATGGCCTAAAAGGAATCAAGCATTTTTTTTTCTTTAAAGTAAGTGCAAAAGTACTTTTCTCCCTCATTTTCAAAGTAAGATGCTGGATTTTCTCCTGCCAAAAGGATATCATTTTACATTTCACTTATGTGGAACTCTTTATTCAAATGGACCAAAATGAACATCAATGGCCCTGCTTGTCATTTTCTCTTAAACCTATAAAAAAGTGCTTAATTTATGATATGCATTTTTGGTTGGAATTTTAAAGAAAGGAAAGGTCTACTGCAGACAGCATCTTATTTTCATGAACTGTATATACTTCCTTATTTGTCATGCAGTGCTCAATACAAATGAGCATATGGTTGAGACCAAGGATTTTGTGGTAAAGTCAAGCATATCAGATTTGCCTTCTCATCATACCAACCAAGAAAATGCTTTCTAGAATGTGCTCCCACTCTTGCTGACAAACCGCAGAAATCTGAGATCCTGCAGGAACTGACCTAAGCCTGGGATTAAACACCAATAAAAATACTGGCTGAAGCTTTATCACATCAAACGCTAAGCACCAATGATTTAACAGGCTGTATTCACCACTACCTTCTCCATGGGAGTTATCCATGAATTACAGCACCTAATTTCACTATTAGAAAATGTAATAAATTGAAATGCTATGGCCTTCATGTTGACAGCAGTTTCTCCAAGCTTTTAAAATAAGTTTTAAAAATGGTAAAATGAAATAAATGAATTACTGGAAAGTGTCTTTAATGAATGCTTATAAAATGGTATAAAATCTGAAACTGATCTGACTGTGATTAAAGCCAAAGCAGCAAAAGCAGCACATATTGTTATGCATATTCTATTAGTAATGGCAAGAGGCATGCCTAAAGTTCAATATATGGTATTAAAACTCCATTCACATATTTCCTGAACTCAGTAAATTTTCTGAGCCCATAAGCATTAAAAGAAAAGGCCATACCTCTGCAAACTGAAACAAGGCTGATGCTTGACACTGTTTTGAAGGAGTATCAGGGTGGGATGTACTTGAAGATATCTAAAAGGAAACAAGTAATTTTTAATACACAAGGACATTTTCCCAGATCAGACTAAAAGATTCTGCCATATATTTCTACTGTAGACACTGATAAAGGTTAAGACATGAGTCATCACTCTCAATCCCTCTTAAAGCAACATAAATGATAAAGGAAGACAAAGGCCATGTTTCCAAAAACATGATTAGAAAGAATAAAATGACTGTGTTTGTCTCATTTTCCCCTTCTCTTATTAAGGTGCCGGGTATGTATCAAACAGTTGAGGAGATTTTGTAAAGATAAGTTTTCATATTTCAATGATTTTAAAGTATTATTAAAAGACTGCAAGTACAGGCACTCTTTCTCTTCTCTACAGCACTCCCCCACATTCCCCAAGCTGTTCTCTGTTTACAGGCAGCTGTGAAAGAGTGTTGGAAAAGCACTCGGATGTGGGTCAGGGTATCTGGGGTTGAATCTCAGCTGTAACTCACTAGCTATGTGAGCTGGACAGTCAGCTAATCTCTCTCAAATCTACTGTTCCCAACTATAAATTGAGATGATGATAATCATCATCATCATCATCATCATCATCATCATCATCATCATCTCAATTTTACAGGATTATAGTACGAAGAAGTAAGAGATGGCAAAACATTGCCTGGCACAGCACCAGAACTCAAGAAACTGTTCACAGAAAATGATGAGCATCATATCTTCCTTTTCTAACACATATGAATCCTCCCTCCCAACATAGTCTTCAGATGTCTGAGCTGCAGAGAAATGTGTGCCACTCCACACTTGCTTCCACTAGGAAGCCTTTTGTTTACACTTGATAATTATGGTAGCCTTATTAAAACTTTGCTCTGAGGGCCACATGGAAATACTTTCCAAGGATGCTTTGAGAACAGTTAATTATTAATCTTGGTTCCAAAGCAAACAAAGCTTCTGTCCAGTTACAAAATGTGGAGAAAGTGAGTAACAAAAGCAGAAATTCTGGACATTACAGATTCAGCTACTCCCAGTACCATAAAGACTTTTTCTTCAATTTACTATACTTACCAACTGCATGAAAGGGTAATTACTAAGCAATGAACCTTAATCATAACTCTTCACTTACAAAAATCATTTATCATTTCACTTCAATTAAGTTGGTTAGAAAACCTCCATAGTATCAAAGTAATATTTAGGGATGAGAAAGACTGATGAAATTACTGACTTTATTCACTGCTGAAATCATCAGGAAAAATGTGATTTCATGGTTTTGTTTTGAATCAGACATTTTGAGATTAAGTATCAGTAACAAGAGAAAAGGGTTGCCCAAATCCTATTTAATAAATTAGATGTAAACCCATGATCATGGATGACAAAGAATCAAGTGTTTTGAAGACTGGAGAATAAATTATCAGTCAAACCATTTCAAATGACAAACATGTACAAGTGTGTAACATCACAAATATAACACCTTGAGGATATTCAAATTCTAAAAATTTTTAACTGGGTAGGTCTTACTTCAGATATACCTTTTCATTCCTCTACGAAAGAGAAAACACAGTTCCACTATTATAGTGCCTAATCCACGATATATTTCTCCAAGGAATATATCAGTGAACAAAATAGAACCAGTGAAACAAGGTAAAAGGCTTTCAAAAAGCCTTTCACAAATTTCTAAACAAAAGCTGTTTTTAAAATTGACATTGAGATAAAAGATATTAAATTAATAACATGAAAAAAGAGACCCTGAAGAACTATAGGACTAGGGATCTGTATATTAAATAGCATCAGGGGTCTCAATCTTAGCTATGCTGTACAACCTATATGCCAATATACCCAGAATCTCACCAGACATTTTAAGCGTTTCTATTAGATCTTTATAGTTTTAGGTATCACAGATTAAGCATCTTTGCTGAAAATTGGGACTCAACATCATTTAACACATCTGTAACTACTATTAAAAAGGAAGAGCAGAGTGAATTCTCATTACATTAAATTACTGAACACACAAATGCAAAATAATGGGAATTTCTGCACATCTCACACAGAGGGCAGAGAGAAAGCAACAGATAAGGGGTATAATGTGACAAAATGGATATAGCATTCTAGTGATAACAAGGCAGTTAGATGCATTATAAACCATGTCTTAAAAAGAATGGCCCAATATGCCAGTGTGATAAGTAGCTTTGCTAATAAAATGTTGAAACCACAAGAGCTAAAGACAACAAAAGGGTAAAATATTTGAAACTAAAAATATGCTCTCCTTGAACAAAAGTACAACGCAATGGACATAGATTACGGTGACAGGGCAGGAAGTCACTTTTTGGGTTTTTTGGGAAGCATTCAAATGACCAAGGGAGACCATAAGGCTTAAATTTTAGAAAAAATCATTGACGATGGCTCTGTATTAGTCTTGGATTAAGTGATACTTTGGGAAGCAGTCATAACCCTTTAGACTTGAAATCAAGAATAAGGTGGTTTTTCTACATCATCCTTTGGAACCAATGTTATAACCACACTGCTCTAGAGCTGTAAGCAACAAAACACAATTTTTTGGAAACTGTCAAGGGCATGCTACAGTTTTAATTAAAAAAGGGAAAAGAGTTAAAAAATAAAAGGATGTCGAGCCAATAGCCCTAAGTGATTCTCCCCTCTGATTTTACAGTTGGTAAATTAACACCTGATAAATGACAAAGTTCTAACAATAATTCAATTTATATACTTTACTATCCATGAAAAAAATTAGTATTTAGTATGACCCAGTAATAAGTTTTTATAAACATATAGTTTTTCTTTAATTAAGAAACTCTGGTGTTCCAAAAATATTTTTTCTAAAATTTAATTCAGTTCTTTACTGCTTTGTGCTACTGTTATCAGTCCAAATTTAAACTCACTTCCAATTTCCTCATGAAGGACGAATTGCAATATATTACCTCAGCAAACTGAAATAATGGTGACTTTTGACGCAATTCAGGAGATTCGGAAACATCAGGCCTACAAGTGCCAGAGGACATCTGTAACAAAAATAAGATGGTATGAGACATCTCCAGAACAGCTTCTGGAAGGTAACAGAAGATAAATGCCACCTAAAATGTTTCTATTTGAGGAAAGAATGGTTTTGATTCCCCCAATTTGAGACACTTCTGTGGGAAAAATAGTTATATTCTATGAAGTTTTATACAGGAGGCCATGAAACTACTAAATAATGCCATAAATAGGAGACAGATAAGGTAAAGCACTTTAGAAAAGTTAGTAAGTCATCTAAGAGAAATTTTGACAATAAGATCTTTTTGATCTTTTACTTTCTGCCACTAAGTCTAAAGGAAATGCACTTCTTTCATATGCTATGTGCCCCCCAATATTTTATATTATCTGACCACAGAAAAACACAAAGGAGATTTAATAATATAAACCTTTGGAGAAAACACCAAAACTAAAGTCAAATTCTGTTTACAGGGCTTTCATTTGGGTATTTAATGACTTACTATCTCCATCTGTACTCACTATTAACAGTGAAAAAGTTATTTTTTTAAAAATTCTTGCTATTAATCAAGAATTCTCAGGATTCACATTTCCCCTTTTATCTCAATGCTAAAATTGAACCATTATGCACTTGGGTGACATAATCACTTAAGACGCTGACTGTAATTCAAAAGTCATAGGAGTCACTGAACAGCAGAGAAGGAAGAATTTCATTACTCCTCTGATCTAACCCTTTTGACAGATGAAGAAACCCAGGGCCAGAGAGGTCAATGACATTTCCCCTCTCCAACATTCAATAATCCCCATATTCTTTATCACCATGACATTTAGCACTTATCATAAGACATAGTATTTGTTTTTTGTCCATCCTCTCTACAGGGCTTTGTTGAGTGAAGAATCCTCAACACTGCCTGAGCACAATGTAGGTGCCCAGCAAGTATTTGTTGAGCAACTAAAAGAAGGAGACAAGTCTCCTAAATCCCAAATGACTGTGCTCTCCTTTCCTTTCTCTTCCTGAACATCAATGCAAGGGAGTCGTCGGGAAATAGTTACGTTCACTTTAAAGGAAAAACAGAAGTTCAAAAACTTTTTAATAAAGTATTTCTGATAATCCAAGTTCACTGTGCAAAATATGAAGGGGGAAAACACTTAAGAAAAATCACCTAATTTACCTCCTAAAGATAACTGATTTTTGCTATTCCAAGTACATTCTTCCAGTTAAATGTGCTGGTAAATTTTCAAGTAAACTGAATATTCTACTGCAGTTGTAGAATATTCCTTTTCAACAATACATTAATTTTCCCATGTTATTAGGCATTTTTGAATGCAATTTTAATAGTTGTATGTGATGTTAGACGGCTGAACCCTGTAGGAAGAGCTGACAGGTTATATTCCTAAAAATGGTTTCCTTTTTTATTATTGTTTCATTTTATTTTATAAATACTTTTTTTACATTATTCTTCATTTTGTAAATTTCTTACCTTGGTTGTAATCCCCGTGGACTTCCCACCACTACTTCACCCATGTGCCATCACCATAGTCCCATGTGCTCATCCTTTTTGATCTTGTCCCCTCCCATCCCCCGTAGACTGTCTCTGGCTTATTGTTAGTTGATGTTCTTTTTTACTTTATTACAATTTATGCACATATACATATACTTCCCCACCCCCTGCCAATCCCTTACACTCCTGCTATAAGTGAAACTATCCAGTATTTTTCTTTTTCTTCCTGGCTTATTTCAATAAGCATAATCTTTTCCAGTTCCATACATGTTGCTGCAAATGGCATGCATTTATCTCTTTTGATTGCTGAATAATATTCCATTGTACACACACACACACACACACACACACAAATCTTCTTGATCCAGTCATCTATTTTTGGGCATTTGGGTTGATTCCACATCTTCCCTGTTGTAATAGGGTAGTAAGAAACATAGGGGTGAAGGTGTCCTTTTGAATTATTATATTTTGTCCTTCGGGTAGATACCTAGGCATGGAATTCCTGGATCATATGGAAGCTCCATTTTTAGCAGTTTGAGAAATCACCACACAGCTTTCCATAGTGACTGTACCAGCTTGCATTCCCACCAGCAGTTTAGGAGAGCTCCTGTTTCTCCAACCATCACCTTATTTTTTAAATATGTGCCATTCTCACTGGTATGGGATAGTATCTCATTGTGTTTTTGATTTGCATTCCCCTTATTACAAGTGATCCTGAACATTTTTCATATGCCTGTTGGCTGTCTGTATTTCTTTGAGCTCTTCTGCCCATTTTTTTTGATGGGGTTGTTCTCTTTATATTTGTTGAGTTTTGTCAGCTCTTTGCACTTTGTGACCAGTCCTTTATCATTTGTATTATGTGCAAAAATTTTCTCCCAGTCAGTGGGGTGTCTGTTTGTTTTCTGTAGTCTCTCTTTTGCTGTACAGAAGCTCTTCAATTTGATATAGTCTCACTATCCTTGCTTTGGGTGATGTATCTTTAAAGACGTTACTGAGGTGTATGTCGTGTAGTCTTTCACCAATATTTTTTTCTATATATTTTATGATTTCAGGTTTTATGTCTAGGTCTTTAATCCATTTTGAATTGGTTTTTGTTTATGGTGTGAGTTAGTAATCTCGCTTCATTTATTTGCACATAGCAGCCCAGCTTTCCCAGCACCATTTGTTGAACAAACTTTTTTTGTTCCATTGCACATTCTTTGCTCCTATTCCTAAAAAGAGTTTCTCACTGAACCTCTTCATTAGACATTGAAGATGTGTTTCTCTAATAGTGTCACAGACCACTGGGCAGGAGCAAGCATTTGAAATTTTAATTGTCACCTTTGGATTTGAAAGAGTAATGGCCACCTTCTCCAAGTGATAAGCTCCACCGAGAAGGTGCAGCAACTTTAATTAATTTGCCACCTGCGGTTTGGCTGCCAGGCCTCAGTCCCTTGCTGTCACTTGCCAAATGGCCCAACTGTGCTTTTACTTCCTCAGAATTCAAAGCCGAGGAGACACAAAATTAACTAAAGAGGATGACAACTAACCCTGAAGTATCTAGCCACCAAAAATATTCCTTATTGGAAGGAATACTTATACAAAATAATGTCATTCAAATTTAGCAACAATGAAAAAAATTATTCAATACTGCTCTGTTTATAAATAAACCAAGTATTTTTAACCCCCGCATATCCTGGTAAATAACCAAAATTTGATTAAAAATCACCTAGGACGAAATGAAAATGGTAGTGTCTCTACAAAACTTTAATAAGGTAGGTTGTACACATGACAGAAATATATTATCATTTAGGTTAGTTACAATGCATGAAGTATATAGTATGTATTCTTGTTTCAGCTCCCATGGATATAAGAAATGGTTACCACTTATGAGATTAGTTACCCTCTGGCTTAATAAGAGTTCATAATAAGTATAAAAAGAAAGTCAACTTTCTTTTATGTGGTACTTAGATGATCTGACCACAGCTATGCATCATGTCATAAAGTTTAAAAAATACATAAACACTCTGTAATTTGTTATGATTTGTTCTTAGATAAAACTTTTTATTTGAATGAGAACTCAAATGGGAGTAATTATCAATGCATCTACAATCCTGCCCATATTTTATCAACCTTATTATGCTACCAAAGGAGTCTATGCATGTGTATACTCACTTCAGACCTGACATTATGGCAGATGCACAATGAATACCTGTTGTAACTGGCCTGATTCTCTGTTAAGTATAAAGAATCTCAATGACCAGAAACCATGGAACAAAACCTGTCACCTACTTAAAGAAGCAGTGACAGCACTACTGAAGGTATGCATTTTACACTACTGGACAAGATACCCTCTTAAAATTGACTTATTCTTAATGTACTATGGGGACAGCTTACATCTTTAGTGAATACAACACAGAAAAGAGCACAAAATTAGGAGCTAAGAAAAATGGGTTACTACTAAACTCTGTAGTTAACCTGACTCCTAAGTCACATCAGGGCAGAAGTAACAAATCAGAAGAGTTCAGGAGTAGGAATAAGCGAACTGGGAAAAGAACAAGTCCAACAGCAAGAAAACCCAACAGGAAAACTATAAAGAACAGAAGCAAATGTTTTATAATGCAAAATGATCTGTGAAAAGCAAATTAAAATAGGGTAAGCAATCCCAAAGTTTCCCCTGAAGGCTTCAGTTCAATGCAGTAATTTAACATTTATAACTCTGATCCTAAATTGTTGACATAAGGATAATTATAAAATATATTCTTCATTAAAAGGTAGAAGTGCAAGTGACACCATAGTAGACATATTTCCTTCTAAAATTTCAAAGCACAGAATGGCTCTATGACACAGAAAATGTATACATGTGAAATTCATTCTTCAGTGCAGATAATAAGGCATACAATGCCAGCTTAAATGGGTATATTACATACCCTGATATAAAGATAGATAGATCTTAATCTTACACGTATCTTTGTGTGTGTGTGTGCACGTGTGTGTGCACGTGTGTGTGTACAATATTTGTAGAGAGACAAATTTGGTAAAGAATGTGTGTGTGTGTTTGTGTGTATGTAATATTTGTAGACACACACATCTGGTAAAGAAATGCATGAAAAGAAGAGGCTATAAACTACAGAAGGTCCCTAAGTTAAGTTGTTAGTCAGAGGGCTCAATCTTTTGACTTGCTGGTTGTATTCACTGTATTCTAAATAATTTATTAGATGGGGCATGCTTTTTATGGATAAACATTAATCCCTCAACATCCATTCCTAGAGCCAGACTGTTTCCTAATGGAATATAGAACCGAATTAATCATTATTAAGAGGAAAGAAAAGATATCAAATAAGCAAAGATTAAATAAAGGGAGAAAAATACCCAAGAAGCCGCTTCGAGAAATAGTCTCTGAAATAACCCCTAAGGCCACTAGGTGTTGCTATAGGCCCAAGAAAGAAAACAGGGATTTTAAAAGCAGTTTCGTTAACCTCATCTTCAACTTCCTTTTTAGCTAATCTTCCCTTTGATTTTGCTATAATTGTAAAAAGCCAAGGAAGGGA